GGAGTGAGGGGGAAAGGCTCCAAGATTCAGGGGGGAAAATCACCTGTGATGCATTTGTAAGGTGAGACTCAGAGCAAACCCAGAAAGGCATTTAACCCACTCAAGAAGATAAACACTATTAAGAAGGATGTGGCAACAATCTAGAGGAAGTGAAGAAAGAAAGAGAGGAAGGAAGAACAGGAAGACTAGAAACATGAGCATTTTAACTTTATTAAGACTAAAATTAGGAGACTGTCTTGACTTAAAAATAAATCATTCTTCCATCTCTATTTGAAGAAGTAGAGATTTTTTCCCCCTTAAACTACAGTTCCTTAAATACAGCCCTTTTCTCAGTTACATCAGTACCAGAAATATAATTATAGCATTTTCTGAGGGAGTGTATTTTGAAAGTTGCATATGGAAAAGGGCATGTGGATATGTTCTGACCCAGTTTAGAGCTTTCCGCGTGTTGTGTTACAGTGGAAGGGGTAAACCACGAGGGAGGCGGGCAGAAGGAAGACTTTCTGAACTCTCCCAGAAAAAGTAGGCCAAGCAGATCTCCAACTAACCTATCAGCAGGTCTGCGGTCCAACGACCAATATGCCCTGGGACAAGTACATGGATGAGCTGAAAGAGATATACCCATTGTCTGAGTCCTCCAGTCATCAACGTTTATTGAGCACCTACTCTGGGAGAAGTTCAGTGCTAAGTGCCAGGTTAGGTGGGATGCAAGGAAGATCACTCTAAAGATATAGAAAATGTCAGTATTCTCACGCCTCTTACATCAAGATAGGAAGCCTGCACATGTGCACAAACGTCACATGAGAGAGCAAAATGCTAAGTGTCAGTAGAGTGGTCCATGCGAAGAGTTAATGAACTCTGTTTTCCCATGTCCCTGGTACCAGCTCTTATTTGAGACATCTAATGTTCTCCAGTTCCTGATCTTATTTTGACCCTATGCACTCCTTCCCTTGAATGATTTAGCTTGGTGTTTTGACCTTGAACCACCCACCTAATACAATCGTTATGAAAAGGCATTATTTCCATCGCCGGTCTGTCCTGCAACACCTTCCGTTTCACATGGATCCTCTTCCGTGGAGGGCAAACCTTACATCACCCAACATAACACAGACTGAATCGAGCAGCACAGAGGATACGTGCTATGAAGACATTCCCAACATAGATCCTGCCTGGCTGCCTTTCAGCAGCACATTGTGCAGAAGTGAAAGAGTGGCTTCCTCAGGTAAGTCAGAGACAGTGGCTCAGGTGAGATGATCCCGTCCCACAGGGACAGTGCATTGTCCTTGCCGAGTTTTAGGTCCACACACTGAATAGCCGCCGAGAGTGGATATTATCAAATCCTGTTAACCTCTGCTCTCTCCTGAATGGGTAGAGGCACTAACTGGGAGAAAGTTTTGTATCAGGTGGAAGATGAGGATTAAAGCAAAGAGCTTCTTTCCATCACATTCAACTTCACCTGCTGCCTCCGGGTAACATTTAGGTATGAGTAAAGATGGACTAACTGTAACCATTCCATTTTCATAACTTCTATTATAAACCTGGCAATGGTACTTCTAAATCAGCATTTAGTAGCTCAAAATTAATCCCAAATGATCTGAAATGAGAAAGTGTAATAAAGGAATTTTAGGACCAATTTCTAGTACTGTGATTCTAAACGGGGGTAGCTGAGGATTTTGCCCCTTTGAGGGAATTTGGCCATGCATGCAGACATTTCTGGTCATTAGACTGGGGGGGAGGGGTATTGCTAGCATCTAGTGTATAGAGGCCAGGGATGCTGCTAAATTTCTTACAGTGCATAGGACAGCCCCACAACAAAGCTTAAAATGTCAATAGTCTTCAGGTTTAGAAACTCTCCCCTAAGGGAAAGAAGACCAGGGTTCTAGGTCAGGTTATCCCACTTATTAGCAATACCGAATTGGGCAAGTACTTAAGCTCTTTGCAATTCAAGTGTTTCATCTTTAACACTGGAATAATAATATCTGCTCTACTCACCACTCAAATGAAAAAATGGTATGTGGTATATAAAACCGAGTTGGCACTTTTATTATTTAGCATCACAACTTCTTCAGCATCAACATTCTCAGACTACCCTTTACACAGACACAAATTCAATCTATGCATATTTACATAGGGCCTAAGGAATAAATAGGGCAGTTTTAATCTTATTCAAGAAACCCAAATGCCTGTGGAAAGTCAAATGAGCTTCCGGTCCTCCAGAGCCCAGACAAAGGAAAAAAACACCTCTCTTGTCAACACAAGGTTAGCATTCAGCCTCCCCTTGTCAATGATCTACAGACAGAGAATCACCCCTGGGTCAGAAAACACTTACCGCATAGATTTTCTCTTCGTGATGGCAAGACCCACGAGTCGTGGACACACACTCGGGGCAGCACTGGTTGGCGGCTATTTGAAGCACTTCTCCCTGCGCATTTAAAAACAGCTCAGTGTTAAACAGTGGCAGCACTCACAATGGTTCTTTGCACTTTAGCCATCTCCGATGCACTTAATCTCATAAGTTTCCACGGGTGACAATAATAGACAGGATAAACCAAATAAACAAACAAAAGGGATTCTCTCTGTCAAGACGAGCTTCGTCAAAGATAAAATGAACCCCTTTGTGGAAGCAATTTCCTTGGAAATTGTCTACATCTTTTCACATCTAATGAAGTGAAGAATTTTGTTCACTAGAAATGCTTCATCTGAGTGTCACATAAGAAAAGCAGAGAGGGTGAGAGAAGAACTGTATCTTGGCCTGGGTAGGGGTGAGGAGTGGCCACAGAGCTGGTGGCCCCAGGTCTTCCAGATCTCCTAGAGAGGTCAGATGCAGTCAGCCTCTGGCGGGGGGGGGGGGGGGG